TCTGCCTTCTCGGCATCCTCCGTCACCAAGCCACCTAGCAAGTTCAAAGCCACCTAGCAAGTTCAAAGCCACCTAGCAAGTGAAGCCAAGTATGATTGTGAAAAAAGCTGCATGTCAAACCTAAGACATAATTAACGGTCCTTTCCTCAAAAGAACACTGATTTTAACCACTCCAGACGCAAATTCACAGCAACTGAAACAGAAATTCCAAATTCCACATCAAATCCATACCAAATTCCACAGCAAGTCCAGAATTTAACCCTATATAGGCTTCCCACCTCCAGGATTAATTAAATTATTAAGTCAAAGGAACTTAATAGCTTGCAAGCTCACATGTATGGGCACAACAAAATGAACCACTAGTAGGTTCTTGTGCTGGAGCTTGCTAAAGAGATCCTTGCTGTGGGTTCCTGTGACATTCTCCTATGTGGAAAAAGATGGGACATGGGAGACAGACTCCTCTCTCAAATTGGGATTCCTTTGCATGGGGTTGTTGGCCCTATGCAGGCTCCACGTGAGATACTGTGTCCAGGACACAGAAGATGGGGYACAAGTGTATCCCATGGGAAATGTTATTCCCAATGGGAAATAACAAGAAATCCAGGGATGCATCACTCCACTTCACACACCCTGGCTTTCTCCTCTAGAAACTCCAGAAGATGCTCTGGATGAGGTTGACCAAGGGACAATGGTAATGGGTCAACACTACAGAGACCMTCTCCATTTCTGTGATAAACTAACACATTTATATTGCCAATTTTAGGTGCTGAACTATCTTCTCTACCTCTCTAAGAAATTGAGGTGCCTCCAGAAGATGTGTCAGAGCAGTTAAGTTCAATGGCACTTCCCCTTATCTGAAGAGGTTCCTCCTTCTGTGATAATGCTGGAAATCTCCAGATTCTAAAAATCAGCATGTGGACAATTATCAGAAATAAGGAGCAAAAAAGGTTCCACAAAGTACTTCCAAAYACAAGTAGAAGCTGAAGAACGTGGCTACCATTGCTCTTCTGCCTGACTGTGCCTCAAATAACTCTCAAACCAGCTGCTAAAATTCAGTCGTGCTGTAGGGAGGACCCCGACTCACCAATGTTGTATTCCTGGACGTTGCTGATGTAGCCGTAAAGCGGGCAGTGGCCGAAGATGACGAGCATCACGGCCTTACCGTCCTGCAGGGTGACGATGTGCGCCGAGTGGCCCACAACTGCGTACTGCTCCTTGGCTTTGGGGGTCACCTGAGCCCAGGACTGGCTGGGAATGTGGAACACCCACAGCTGACTGGTCACGTTGCCCGTCGCGTCTATTTTTCCACCATACATGTACATATCGTCCTGAAAGAAGTCAGAGTTAAAATGAGGCCAGAAATTCAGTATTTAAGAGAGCGCTAATTATGGAAGGAATGGAATTGCTCAATTTTAGCCTCCCCCAGCCTGCTAAGTTCTCCCTACTCTTTCAGAATGAAAAAAAGATGAAACAAAGCCCAGGATCCCCATCCTTAGGAGCAGATGCACCTCCTCGGAGCAAGTTGTACACTGCTCAGCCTCATCTCACTGTCATCCCTCCATTCTCATGCAAAAAGCAGCACAGCTTCAACATGATGGACAGGGTAGGGTTCCTCTGTTAAGGAAGGGCGAACGGAAGGTTTCAAATCCTTCAGGCACAGCAGGAAAACTACCAGTTTTTTTACTTTTTATGTAAGCATTTTGAGCACTGTGCTCCAATTAAGGAAGGATACTGCACAGGTCTCCTTGCTTGGTCACAGCAACCACAACTCGCCAAGTTTGCAAATCCCAAACAGCACAGGACAGCTGGTGAGATAGCACGGAAACGTCTTCGTGTCTGCACACTAAAATCTTTTTCTCTTAAATGAACATATTGGGAACCTTTGGAAAGCAAGGTGTCCAAGCATCTTATGGGATGATTAATAAAGCCATGCTTGTCCGGTAGCCAAGCACGGCTTTACTAATCATCCCATAAGAGCTCAGCTCCCTCCAGTTTCCTTGGTGGATTTCTGCAGCTGTATCTAAGTCAATCACAAATCCACCAACACATGTGGAGAGGCACCTGCTTCACTGCTGCCTTGGAAGGGGAAACTCTCTACCCTCATTGAAGCTTCTTGGGGAAATGCTAAGAACGACTCTGTGTCACTGACGGCGAGCCCGGTCTAGAGCACATCTTGGGAAGAGCTGCTCGCAGAAGGTTAATCAGCCCCTGCAGGTAGGAACTGCTGCCTTTATCAGCTTCTTCAAGCGAGCTGCTTGTGAATGCTGATGCACACTGCTTTTCAGGCGCTGTTAATTATGATTTATACGGGCCTGCACTGTGACGAGTTAATTAACAACCTGAGAACAAAGGTCAGGGAAGGCTCAGCTCCCCTCCTTTTGAAGCGAGCTAATGTGCCCATGCCTGTTCTCTTCTCCAAGACGTTTTGTTGGAGTTTTGCCATTCTGCTCTCACTTGGCCTGCTCCCACAGCAAGGTTGCAAGCGAGGACTGAGGTCAGAGACAGCCAAATCCACCTGCCATTTTTGAGGCTGAAAGGATGGAGGCAGGGGTCTACTCCAGAGGCTGAGCAAGGTCCAAAAATCCCTAAATCCACCAGCGCTGCCAGTGTGCCTGGCACTTTGAATGCCTTGCAAATGGAGTCTTGAGAGCTCCCAAGATTTTCGCTGTCTACACAGGAACCAACTAGGGAGCCAGTTCAAATCCAGCAAGTTCCAGCTATGAAGCATGTCTTACAAGAGCAGGCAGAAGGAAATGAAGTAGTCATTGATGTCTGTCAACCCTAAAGTCCCCAAGAAAGGGAAGGAGAGAGGAGGAAAACACTGGCAAAGTTACTACCGACTTACTGGGACACCAGTCCAAGGATTCTTCTGAGTACAATTATGCATGCAGAAGAATATGCATGGACAAGCCTTTGAATGAGACAGGATTCCCCCATAACAAGACTGATCTGAGGAAGGGAAAGGAGGGTAGGGRGGAGAAAAGGGGGAAATAAGATGAGAGATGATGCCCTAAGCTGATTTACCTTATGTAATGCCAGCGAATGACCGTATCTCATCTCTACCACGTTGACAGTTTGGTTCAGTGGAAGCCACTCTTCAGAAATGAGATCGTACCTGTGCAATGAAAATTGAATTCAGGCTTTTTTTTTTGAGAGAGAGAAACATATTCAAATGACAAAAATTATTGCTTGTCTTTCCTAAGAATGTTGGAAATCATTTTACTTGACAAGGTCCTACAAGAGTTCAGCATCGCAAGTCAGATTATTTATAAATTATTCAGTCAGGTCTATTCTGTTATTTAATACTCATGCATTGATTTGCTGCATCCTGGGTTTTTTTTTTTTATCCCATGCAAAACCAGGAGTTAATGAACTGACTGCTAAATTATGACAACTTGCATCYTATTATCCACCCAAGGAAGATAAAAATGGTATATATTAAACTCAGGCAAATTCAACCCATTTAGAAAGAACTGCCAGGATTTAAGAGGAACTTTTTAATTATATCTTTGTCAAATCAAGTGTATTTCTTTTCCTGTAAACCTGAGAGAAACTCTGCCCTGAAAATGGCCCATGCTTTTCAGATACGGTGATGAACTGTATTTGCCATGCTTATGGTTGCAGGAGATAAAACCATCTCTGAGAAAAGCTTTAATGAAGCCACGTGGTATCTCTTGAAAAATCAGGCAGGGACTTGTAAAGAAAAGACTGTGGTGGCAATCARCAACTATTTTATGACTGTGCGTGTGTGTTTTCTGTTCCTCTTTAACTTCTCCTACCACTATTATTACTTCTGATGCAGAGCACACAGCTCTTGCTTGGAATAACGCATTCCAGCTACGCACGTATCCCTGGAAATCCACTTATGGCCAGATCTGCCAGGATATTAGTAAGCTCAAATAAGTAACTTAAAACATTTTCAATATGAATTTCAATAAAGAAACATAGTATTATTCAATACCCTTGTTAGTGCTAAATTACTTCAACAGATGATAAAAATGTCATCATCCTAAGTGTCACTCCCTCTTTGGTATCCCATGCATTACTCTATGCTTAAATATCCACATGCACAGAAGTCAGTAGATCTTCATTAAGGAACCAAACAAAGTGACACAGACACAAAATAAGAAAGGGCTAATAACACAGAAACAGAACTAATTTATTTGAATATGAATTCAGATACAATTTAAAGATAACCTAGTAAAGAATAAGAATTGCATAATATATATAAATAGTTTAGTGGATCTTTGGGTGCCTGAGCAGGTTACCCCAAAGGAACTGTGTCCAACCTTAGAGATATAGAAAAGTGATCTGGACACAATCCTGTGCCCTGTGCTCTGGGTGTCCCTGCTTGAGCAGGGTTTGGACTAGATGATCTCCAGAGGTCCTTTCCAACCTCAACCCTTCTTTGAATCTTGTATTTTTTGTTTCTTAAGATCTGCATCTCTTTTCAGCTCTTTTCCCCACCCCACAAACTGTTCATATGCTGTGCAAACAATTGTACAGCATACAGAATAGCACTTTCTAAAAATKATTCTCACATCTATGTACCTATGCTTGTATTAAGTTAATCCATGTTTATACTCACGCTAAAACTTTCTGAGAGTCAGAATGATTGAAGACATAGCCTCCAACAATCCACATTTTATTGTCGTGGATTATGGTTTTGTGAGATGCTCTAGGAAGTTTAGGAAGCGAGTATTCCTCCCGGGTCCAAAATGAGTGGTTTGCAGGAACAGGAATGGAACAGCCAGGACCTGGGAATAAAAAAGGGGTTGTTTGTTGGGTTTTTTTCAGGTCATACAAGTTCTAGCKGCTACTCTTCCCTCTTTTTTCCCTCTTCCCTTTCTAGCATTGCATTTTTGTCACCTGTTTACTTCTCACTAGCACTCCTGGACAAGACAACGAAAGTATTCTGTGTGTTCCACTTCTTGTCTGAACTTTGCTGCAAGTATATAGGAATAAAGCTTCRTGCATTTTTTATTCTGATGTTTGCATTGATAGATTGGTAACACAACAGCTCTTTCTTTTGAAAGCAACTCTGCGGCTGCATAGAGCAGTACCAACAATCTGTCATCGTTTGATATGAAACTAGGTAGGGGCATCACATACTCTGCCCCTAATCAAATTGCTAATGCTTGTCAAGCAAGACAGTCCCGAGCGCTTCTAATGTAACTGCAAGAGCCAACACAAGAAAAGGCATCCTCTTCACAAGGCAGRTATCCCCCTATTTACCAGAATGCCCACCTTGCCAGTTTGCAGAGCACAAACATGCCTTCGTCTCATTAAAGTCACAGTGTCCTCTCTCGGGAGCGCCACAGTCATCCGTGCAGTAAGGAATATCGCAGGCTTCTCCTTTCCAGTGTTTGGCACATTCACATTGCAGAGCTTTGCTGCTGTTGTCGAGTCTGCACTCGCCTCGGCCAGAGCAATTGTTGGGGCACGTATTGAAACTGCAGGCATCAGGGAAAGAAGGTTTGTCAGTAATGAAACAGTTCCCCCGACCGTGGCTCTGATTCCCAAACGCAGGAGCGATGCTGAACTCACGTTGATAGAGCAGTTTGGGGGATTGCTAATATACAAACCCGAAGAGAGACGTTCACCTGGAATCCCAAGGGACAGATCTGCTCCAATTTGTTCTGTGCACCATCTACAGAGCTGACTCGCGAGTTAAAATTACAACTGTGAGAAATAATCAATATGAATTTTAACCATTCGTAACTGCAAACGAATTGCCTCGAAACCTCCAAGAGGAAGTGAAGAATTTAATCAGCGCCTAAGGCCTTTGCGGTGTCTGCAGTTTATACTTAAACTCCGCACAAGTGCCTGCTATTCTGGGATCTGCTTGCCAAATGAACAGCCTCGAGATGAATCCCAAGGCACATGCGGACGTCCCTCGAATCCTTTCTGATTCTACAGCATCTGCAATGTGACTGAGGCAAAGGCAGATACCTCCTTGGTGAGCATGCAAAGGCAGATGCCCTCTTCTTTTTCAAATTCCAGTTGTTGCCTGGAATAAATTCCTTTACCTGGTATATCTCAAAGACTAGGATTACACAGTCTTCAATAGATGGAGTCAGCAGCTCCATGACCCTGATTTCTGAACTGTTTGTCTTTGAATTCAGTCTCTAGTAGCTATCTCTAGTAACTATAAAGAAACTAGTACATCGTTCCATCTACTCTCTGCAAGAAGGTTAAGAGGAAATCTAAACCCCAGAACTTGCAGAAGAAACACGTCCCAAAACGATATTGAAGTTTGAAGTTGAGCTCAGAGGAACATTAAAACACAGTAGCTTAAGAAGACGGGCACTTCTTTACGGGATTCTCTCGGTTGTGTTGACTGCTGCAGTGCAATACGGAGAGCTGGCAGTAGATGGTGTCCCCGTTCATGGTATCAGGCGCGTTTTCCAAGGCAGATGCTACTGTTTCTGCTGCGTCCCAAGCAATTCTGCAAAAGCTCCACCTGTTCTTCTGGAGGTGCTTGGATGGCTCTCACATTTCACAGAATCGACTGTTTATTTAAAGGCTCAGTAAGGATTGGAATATGAAACGTTTTAAGATCGGTTTTTAAAACCCGATCACTTCATTTTATGGAAACCTTTCAGTCTTGCAAAAATATCACCAGTGAGGACCTTGTATCTAAAACAAAGGTGACTGCAAATTACCCCCAAACTAAAGCCTTCTAGCATAGCACAAGCCTAAGCTGCATCTGCCACAACATAAATTTCAAAGCCTATTATGACCATCAGAAGGAAGAAATTCCATCTCTGCTATGCATCCTTTCTCACTCTAAAACCTAACCTTTTGAAGAAGTAGTCAATGAACTAGAGAATAATCTGTATATATTTTGAAAAAGTTCACCAATAAGCATAAAATCCACGTTAGCAACTGGAAAGCATCCATCTATAATGTTTAACGTAAAAAACAAGGAACATAAAAGAAAAAAAAGCTAGAAAGGGAACAGGTAATTAATTGAATCCAAAGACTGAAGAAAGAAAGCATATCCTCCCTTCCCATGTCTCAYACAAAAAGAATAAAAATAAATAGAAACCACACACAGCACTTGGAGTATCTCAATAATAGGTGTAACACTGGGTCTCAAGTGAAAATGTCTGCACTTATATAAAAGCATCTTTATGCAGAAGTGTCTCTGCAGAATGCATAAGAACACATGTATGCACTTAGCAGATCGATTCTTATTGACTGCAGATGATCAAACTAATCTGATAGCATGAAATAAATCATATGATGCGTTTTTAAGCTAACGTTTAGCCACACTTGTGATTCACAACTGAAGCTAATGTCAAGCACATTAGTTATTAGCTGTTGTATGGGCATAATAAAGATAAAAATCTCAATTCAAGTAGCTGCTTATAATTACATGCTTCAAAAGCAGGAGCTTGCTTCAAGACAAAACCGAGAAGAGATCAATCTCCTTTTACTCAATCTGCAACACTCATTTAATTTTCCAAACCACTTAGGAATGGTGCTACTTACTTATATGTGATGTTGAAGCCTGTCAAATTATAGGCAGCATCGCTGAAGAAATGCAGAAGAGCATATCCAGAAGTAGCTACAACTTCTGGGACCGTTTCATTGCTGTCTTTCTCAGGAACAATAAGACCACTGAAAAAGAAGAAATGTGTGTGCAAAATGAAATAGTAGGGAGCAAAGCAACACTAATAAACACAATATGCACATCTCAGTATGGGTAGAATTGCTGGAATTCAAGGTATTTATCTGAAGTAATGAATTTTCATAAGTTGGCTATAATTTGTGTACAGCAATGTTACCAGATATTCTGCAACAGAGCTCTTTATATATCTGAAGGATGTTTTGAACAGTGTGAGCATGCATGCAAAGAACCCCCAAATAACCACATTCCCCAGGGCTGAAATCCACCAGAYACTGTTGGAAAGGTGAAACCAAAACCCCAAGGAATTAGCTTATTAAACCCTTTTGCTTGGCTTAACTGGCTGCAAAAACGACRATCTAAGCTACTGACCGAGATGTGTAGAAAACCCAAGAATATTGATCATAGTATTGCCACTGCCCCCAAAAAGAGCTGTTGATCTGCTCCGACTGCTTCTCAACACCCTTCCAGGTTCTACTCTAGTACCTTTTCTGATTGTTTGGTTGCATTTTGGGTGGGTAGAAGGTTGTGAGAAGCAARGATGGTGGCCAAAACTATCTTCTATATTTGCAAACAGACACAGATCAGATTTCTACAACAGTTCACCAAAATAATAGTTGGAATAACTTAGAATMATCTCCCAGTTAGGAGAGTCTTCTTTCCCTCTTTACAGACCTCTTCAGAACCAGAAGTGAATGCATTTGAAGATCATTCACAGCACAAGCAGGGCATCTTGAAGCCATGTTCTGCATCCAAGGAAAACACTTGCAGTTCTCCACAGCATCCCACCCACATCACCTACAATGTAGGTGACACTCTTAGCACCATCAGGTTTTCCATCCCTTGATATGACACCATGGTGTGCTCAAAGCTTAGTACAGATGCCTGGTGACCAACATCGAAAAGTTTTGCTAATTGTACAAGTTGGGAAAGATTGCATGTTGACTGATGGCTATATATACAAAGGGTGTGTGTGTGTGTATATATATATATATATATATTTATATTTATTTATTTATATACAGAGGTGTGTGTATATATACCTTACTTCTTATATACCTATCACATAAGAAATTATACTATCAAATAAAAGGTACGTTTCCCTCCTACCCACATACTATAAAAATGCAGCAGCCCCATGCCATGCTTTGGCCAAACAACTCAACATTTGCAGATATGCAGTCCAATAAACACTTCTTTGTTCACCGTGAGAAGCCCAATTATTATTTTTTCTTTTAGATCTCAAGGATACAGGATCAGAAGGCAAAATTCATTGCCTCTCTCTGTTTATCAGTAGGTAATAGGTGCCTCTCTCACTCCGAAATTTCAGAGCGCTGATCTGAAGAGGCTCCCTCCCCAAAGACCGCCTACCAAAACATCAAAGAGGAGAAATTCTAATAAATTCCTCTTTCGCTATTTTGGTTCCTATAGCCTTTCTTTGTAATGCAAACTGTAGAACAGTACGTCTCCGCCACACGAAAATAGACATCTGAATATAATTCCAGGGAAGGCAAATGAGCGCTCAGGGACGCGGGGGAACGTTCCTTTGTTCCGTGTTATTCTTCCTTAGCCTCRTTTTTGCACCGTGGATCGGTGGCATTACACAGGCAGTGAGCTGAGAGACTCTAGTGGGRGGGAAAAGAAGGAGAAAATGCAAGCAGAAGGAAACAGTGTGCAAAAAAAGGAGCAAAGGAGACAAAACTCTCCCGAATAACCTTCCCTTAAAAAAAAAAAAGGCAAAACAAAAAGCATGACTTAAAAAATGCCAAGTATTTGTTGGCTCTTGGAAAGCTCATGTTGGGGATGTGCTTACAAAGAATGCAGATCCTTGCACAGGATGATTGCTCGAAACATGCGCCCTGCTTCTTTCCTTGCCTTCCGCTTGCTCTGCTTTGCTGGAGACAAGCTGCATGCAGAGAGCTGCCCAGATTTGTATAAAAAACAGCAGCTTTAGGATCAGGGCAGTTTTATGCTGCTTATTTAGCTATTGACTCGTGGAGAAAAACGCTAAGCAAGTGAGGCCAATAGTCCCCTAATGGCTCAAATGCAAACACGCTAAAGAGGATACGGTTTTGCCTGTAAAACTTTAAAATAACCCTGATGACATCCAAGTGAGGGATAATAAACTAATTTCCCCTTGCAGGAAGCAATGGACAGAATGAAACACAAGTAACTTGAAAGCCAGGGATTGGATAACACGCATTAAAGCGCAGTTTCGCTAAAAAGAAAATAGAATTGGGGCATTTTCTATGAAACAGCTCCCAAAAGGCAGAGCATGAGCAATAYTGAACTAGGCACCTAGGATCTCGAAGCTCTCTAAGATTAAGCTCAGGCCAGTCAGTGTTTCCCAACACACCCTTCCTATGTTTTTTCCAAAGATTTCAAAACATTTCCCAATCATCGCTACTCCAAAGCAAATAAATACACCCACTCTCCTATGCTGGTCAACCACACCATGCTTCAAAGCTGCCCAGAAAGCCCCTGTTTTGCCCTGAAACATCTGTATTTTTATGGATTTTCACTGGAGTTATCAAGTCAGGGTGAAAACAACGTTAGGAGCAAGTCTGCCTTTCCAGCCTATCCAAATGCAATGGGAAAACACTCTTTGCAGGCTTAAAATTAAGATACTTTGGGGCAGGTGGACACATAAGCAAGCAATGCAACACAGCTTCTTACTAAAACCAGCCTTGGCACATTAGCCAAATTCACAGCTATGAGGGGAAAAATAAACATGCAAGGAAATTACAGACGATTTTAAAAAAATAGATCAATGCCAATACAAAATAAAAAGGGAGRGGGGGAGACTTGCTTCAAATTTATTTTCTTCAAGGAAAGCGAGGACCCTCACGCGACAATATGACCAACGAGAGCGGCACGGCGGCAAGGCCGCCCACGCACAGCCCTCAGGATCAGCAGGACGTGCCCCCAAAATCCTCCTGCACAATCCCCCTGCTTCCCGAGCAGCGGAATCAGGAGAAATCAGAGCCACATTTCARCCTGCGTCTCCCAAGGCACCATCTTCATGGCCCCCTCACGCGGTGGGCCTGGCCGAAAAAGTYGCGTTTCAAGAGAAAAGTGAATGAGGTTTCAGAAGGGAAGTGCTTCTTTTTCCACAATAAGTTTCATTTTTAASAATAAAAATGGTTTTAATCAGCTAGCCCAGGAGAGACAGCTAGCTGCCAAGGCGCCAAAGCATTTATTTTTTCTTTTTTAAAGCTTAAGGAAGGTTGTTATTATTTGAGGCCTGTGAAACTTGGAGAGGATGTTCGAGTTTGTGGGGAAAAAAATAAAACTCGCATTCTTGAGTCTATTAGAAATCCTTTAAGAGGACCAAAAGGCCATAAGAGCAAAGAAAGTTTTTGTTTTACACCTCATTTGTAGGCTTCAATGTAACTCAGAGGCTTTATCTTTTCAAACTCCCTAAAATAGAAAGTCTTTTTCGTCCATCTTGTCAAATTGATTTGACATTTTCAGAGGGGATTATAGGGTTAGTGAATAGAGCCATTCGGATGTAATGCATTTACAGATCTCTCTGAAATCGGACTTTATTTATTTATTTTTCTAACCAGAAAGACAGTTGGATTAATCAATTGCTCTGCATGCAAGGACCACGTGGCTCACGGGCAGCCTAAAGGAATAAACACAAACAAGAAACCCTCATTTCGCAGGTGCATTTCTAGCAAAAATCCCCAGAGCATTTACTCCTCGCCTTATACGAGTTAGCTCTTTTCCTGTTTGCTTTGTGGTTTTGTTTGTTCTTCAAAAAAAAAAAAAATGAAATCAGCACACCGAAAGCAACATGAAATCATTGCTTGGGAAGACAAATACAGCACAAAAATGAACGCTGCAGAGGACAGGTTGCTAGGACAAACGCAAGCCGGGTTGCTCTGTAAAATGGGTGTATGCATAAAAATACACATTGCGACTGTGTTCAACATGGGGCTGGAGCACGACATGGGCCGTGCAATCTCCCGGGAAGCAGGAGGAGTAAAACATGATTTGAGAGGGCTGGATGAGGACGTGCTGAGCGCTAGCTCCACYGGAGCTAGATGGAAACCAGATGAAAGAGCAGATGAAACCCAGGGAGCCTAGTGACATACAGGAGAGGGGCACACACAGTGCCTTGAATGCTAAAATTTCAGCCCAAAACAGCCCCTGCTGTCTGTTTCACACAGGCCACGCACACCAGGCCTTGCTCTCTGCTTAGACGTGCTTGGGAAGCCAGGTCTGTTCATTCCTCTTTTTCTGCACATCAGCCCTAAGCTGATTAGGGCCCCCGGACACTCTCAGGATACAAACTGCCTCCCCTCAACACATTTCGTGTGCTGCCCTATTATAATTAAGCCTCGTTAGCAACAACCTTGCTCTCATCAGCTGATGGTTTTGCTCCCAGCAGAGTAGGGCAGGTGGACCTGGAGGGGCAAATGCAGGCCTTGCAGATGACTCCAGGAAGGACATTTAGGATAAACGAGAAGAAAGCAAGTGTTTGTGCACACRCATTGCAGGAAACAGGTTAATATGGAACAAGAAGCTGGGGACATGATCATTACCACCATCGTTTCCAGTTGCCACCACCACAGACAGCAAGTCTACCCAATGCTGCAGACATAACAGCATCGTGCCTAAAAATTTCTTCAGATTTTTGCTTGATCCTTTTCAGATAAAAGCACTGGATTTCTGTTGCCTCTGGAAGTTCTTCTATCTCATGGCTGATCACAATGCAAACAAAGGCATTTTTAAGCTTGCTTAATGGAAAGAAAAAGAAAGATACTGCACAAGACTGGCCTGCTCCAGGGCACTAAATCCAAGGATTTGGTAAAAAGTTTATGCAGATACTTGCACTATGCAAATATTTGCATTGTATAATGCAAATATTTTTGTATTGCAGTTAAAATGGGTAAACCCTGTTTAAATTCCTCCTTATACTGATTTTGAGAACTCCCAAGATTATCCTAAAATTAATCTTTTGAACAGAGCTACTGACATCAGAAGGCCCCAAAAACACAGTGAGAGCAGTGAAGGAAGTGGAGGCTCAGACAGGCGCTGTAACAAGGCAGGGAGGCAGCAAGAGCTGAGCTTAGGAGAAGCTCGGGTGGAAGTCACAGCGGTTACCAGCCCGCTCTGAAAGTTCACAGCGTCCCAGCGTGCAAAGCTCAGCCTTGCAAAGCTTCTGGCACGCTGCAGAACTAGTGAAGAGCAAAAGCAGCTTAGGGTAAGCACCGAAACTTAACACAAGCTAAGAAGAGAAAGCAAATACAGGCACTGCTCTTGAAAAATTCCCRGGATTTTTGTTTTTTTCTCCCTCAGAAAGAGGTATTTTTCAACAGATGTTTTATTCAGCCTTCACCAAAATTAGAAGCATCTGTTGTTTCCTGAACTTGGTTTACTGAACAACACAGCTCAGTACTAATGAAGATGAAATTCAAATGTCATCTAAAGAAGCAATTATAAAAATAATTGATTTTTTTTTCCTACTTCAAAAATGTTACAGTAATAAGCTCGTGCTTGCTTGTACTCTGGCACAGACTTCCTAGTGATTTACAGATGATTTTAAAGCCTGAACTATAATTGTTAATGCTGTGAACTACTTATAACCTCAGTTTTTAAAGGCTCGTAATTTTTGGAAAATGCAGAGGAAACCGCAGGCACAAACCGTGATCACTTCATCTTTTCAAGAGCGTATTAAAAATTAGCTCGATTAGTGCAAAACACTGAGACGAGATAACGTTTCTTCCTCTGTGCAGACATCAGCTCAGTGCGTGATGCCAGGGGAGTGCTTAGAGGCCATCTGAAAAGCAGGAGGTTTYTATACTTCAAATGGGATGAGAGAATAAGATGACATCCTCGTTGTGTGTCCTGCTTTGACCCGGGGTTGCCTGTTTCCAGGAAGCATTCCCTCACTACAAAACAGCTCCACTTCTGCTTCAAAAATAAAAATAAATAAAACAATGCACACTCTTTACTTTTTCGCTCCGCTTTTTGCTGCTACAGTGATCTTGTTCCTTTCTCTCAGGTGCTAAAAGGACTTTCAAAAGCATGAAGCATTTTTAGAATTTCACTCTAAAATTGGAGAGCAAGCAGCAGCACAAAAGGTTAAGTATAAAAATAGTTAATCGGCCACTTGGAACAAGCAGAGTCCAGTGGGGATACTGCTTTTTCATACATACAACTCAGGATTTTTTTTTTCTTTCCAGCTAAAAGAACTGAAAACACAAGGTACTGCTTGACTCTGCAAGAAGTATGTAAATGCACACRTTAAATTTAGGTCTCCTCTTGGAATATCACCTGTTAACCATTAGCCATGGATCAGTCTCTTGCCCCAGACAGACGAACCGCGTAGCAATCATCCGTTAGAAGAACAGTTCTATCTACACGTATTTTTACAACCGTCGCTGTTGCTTCTGAACRTGTTCCAAGAGCTTTAAAACATTAAACTTCAAGGTATGCGAGGATATATATAGTTCTACAAAAGCTATATGGCTGCGATGTTGATTGTCTGGCTTCTTGCCTTGTGTCAACGGGGACATAATACATGCTAAATGACTGTCATATTCTGATGTGGTAAAAACGGGCAGTTTTCTGCATTAGAAGGAGCTTGCATACTGAAATGCTTCAAGCTCAACYGCACGATGATAATTTTTTGTGCTTAAAACAATTAGGATTTGGGCATGAAAACATAATGCTTGCCTGCGACACTAGAGTAACAYGATCTGTTCACTGCAAAAGCAGAAACGAATCACTAATTGTTTATGCTGCTGCTGACTGCACAAGAGGACACCACGATGTGCTGCACTGGCAGCATTATATATTTAGATTACTGGAACATATTTATACTGCTAAAAGCCAAGCACAATTTCAGGCTGCCGGATAAAAAAGCATCAATGCACTCAGCTAGGTTCTTACCGAGTGGAACTTACCTAAAAGCTGCTAGCAGGGGAGCATAAATCGAGTCTCCATCGTACACGTATAAATGGTCCCAACTGCATTCTGTAGCAAAGTGATTGAACCGAAGCCTCAGGATTGTGTTTGGGCTGGAAAGAAGAAAACATTTGTAATTAGCCACTCAACCCGCGCGGCAGAATCCATCTGACAAAGTCCTCYGGGCTGGAGCTCCCCGTTCAGCAAGAAGCTGGGTTGCTCGAGGAACTGCATTGACGTCTAAAGTGCTTTCTTTTGTGGTGTGCTCATTCCACCGGCATTAAGGAATAGATTCTTTTTTTGGTCAGAAATAAAAGCGTGTCCCTAAGTCTTCCCCCACCAMCACCGGCAGAAACTGAAGAGGGGGCAGGGAAAATCCGCACGGACGAGGCACTTGAAGGATCACAACCGTCAGCATGGAACTAACCAAGCCCCTTTTTCCTCATTCAAGAGATTTTCTGCAAGTYGACATGACGGTCTGAGATTATTTCCTTGGAAAGGCAGAAAGCCTCCTCTTCATCACTCTGTAACTTGTGCAGTACCACAGGACTCTGCTGAAGAAAGCTGCTGAGAASTGGAAACCTTCAGAAATACCCTGCAAGGGTCACTAAACCCTTGTAGCTAAAGAGGTTCTGAGTCTCATCCACACCCTTTGGGAGCTGGGAGATGCAGGCCAAGAGAATACAGAGGCAACTCATCTTCTGCTGAACAAAAGGCCCTGGGCTTTTAATTTCTGTTGAAAGGAAGGTCTTTGATGATTTAGGCTGACTATCTGTACTATTGGCCCTTTACGCTTTACAAATGCTAGCCAGCTTGCTTGGTTCCCTCTGTGGGCACCAACTGAGGATGGAAGAACAGAACTTCCTCAAGGGAGATCTGTCACCTTCCTCCCAGGTGCAGCATGTCCCAAAATGCCCCGACACTGACTGCACCAGTCCAGAAAYGTCTCCCCTGGTCACTCACTAAGGCCCTCAACAAGCAAACTGAGCGGAGTATTCATCTGTTCACCTAACCTCTGCACAAGGCCACCAGAAGCACTGATGTACCAGTGAAAAAAAAGGTTTTATTTCCTCGATGAAGGGATAGAAGCAGCAGTTCTGGTAGCAMAACCGGCTAGTGTTCATTTACCAGACGTTGCCGTGCTGTTAGCTGTACTGCTGCCATGCAGAGCTTCATCTAAAGAGAGGGGCTGTTAAACCTCAGGAGGGGTGAAACACCCCTGATTTCGAGCGTGGAGCCTGGGTTACGAGACCAGCTCAACCTAYGGAGCTGCTGCCTTCTCCTACCCACGGCTGCAGCTGATGAAAGGTCAACGCACATCACTAGGATCTCTTCAACACCGCTGCCCCGAGGCTCAGCTGAAATCCTTGCTCGTCCTAATCAAATAAATTAATAAAACGTCAGCCTGCCGCACAGTCCTTCCTTCCTACGGAAGGAGAATGCTTAAGGGAGCTATTCTGCAGAAGAATCGTTTTTTCTCGATGGGTATCCTCATCTTTGTTGACCTTTTGGAGAAAGGAGAGGCAGGTGCTATTCCAGGGTAGTGTCTTACTTGAAGAAAAAGGTTCAAAATGTAAAAGTTTATTAAATTGTGGGGTTTCTGCTTCTACTCTAACTGCCTGAGAGCTGTAGAGACGAGAGGAACCCTTAATCAATACAAACTTTAGACAATAAGTAGAAAGAAAGAGATTATTTATGCTACACCTAACAACTCATTAACAGCATTCGTTTGCAGAAAGGAAGACATAAAGGGCATGCTCTGCCTCCAGCAGACCCGAGGCTGCTGGACCTGCCTCGTCCCAGGCTCTGGGCAGGACAGGACACCCCTGAGACGGGGACACAGTGCACATAGTGGCCAAGAAGCATCACAAAAGTGCTGGAAGGGCCTAGAAATGAGCGTGGGGCTCACAAGCATCTGCACCGAATCAAGCAGTTTGAGCTGTGCTTTTGGGTGGCACCTTTCCCTGCTCACCCCAAAAGCCCTCCACGCACTGGCACGCCAGCGCCACGGCGCCCAGCAGAACGGAACAGCCTGGCAGGGGCTGTTTTCCGAGGACAGATCCCTCTGGGAATTTCGCACTTGCCAAAGGGTGTTGAGTGTTGGCACGGGGTGCGTAATCGTGCTGATTGGAAGCACTGAAGTGTCTCCTTCCTGCTCACCACCAGCCCCTGACAGCAGGGCACTGCCAACCAGGAGCAGGTAGAGGAGACCTACTAAAATGCCTGCTTCTGATTAAAGAGGGAATATTTTTCTACAGGTCCTCAGAGCAAGAAAGATCTCAGTTCAAGCCCTGTAAACTGCTATTTGTCTGCAAAGTCTCCCAGGATTGGAGAAGTTATGGTGACAGTACCAGGGTCTTGTGGGACACACTTCAATTCAGATAAAAACAGTCAAATTAGCCTTTAGGGGGCAAAAAAAATCCTAGGGTTGACATTGCCTGTACTGCACTTGCTGCAGCTGGTTTGTCTCTCGGAATATCCCTTTTATAACATTTCCTAATTATTTATAATTCCAAAAGAGCTGCAGCTATATTTTTACTATATACAATAGCTAAGAGGTGTAGCCACTTAAGACATTTAACTTTGATCTTAATTATATTAAAAACATGCATGCCTTTTATAGTTAATGGTGAGCTCTTGGCTTCCAATTTCGTGTTCCGAATGGCTCTCTAGAAGGGCCTAGCCCTCATCCTGGAGTATCTCGGGAGCTTAGGCATTTAGTTACTCATCCAAAATAAACACCTGAAGCAGACCAAGCAAATACCTTCCATCCCCACCCCTGCTATCTCTCAAATACAGAGGGAAGACTAAAGATGAAGCTACCTTGAACTTCTTATAATTTCTGATCTTCCAAGATGCTTCCACCCCTGCTATCTCTCAAATACAGAGAGAAGACTAAAGATGAAGCTACCTTGAACTTTTTATAATTTCTGATCTTCCAAGATGCTGAGCGACCTCGGCTTATGAGATTTCAATGCATGTTTTCAGCCAACTTGCTCCTGGTTCAAGCAGCAGTACAGAATATGACTTAACACAACACTGTTCACAGCACCATAACTGACCATACAAGATTGTAAAGACCTCCAGATTGATTGCACAGACTTAGTTTCCTTCTACTCTTACAACTCAAACAAGTTCAATATAAAGTAAGGCTCAAGTATCTGAACAGCCAATTATGATAGGAGTTAATATATATTTTATTTACTTCTTTATTCTGATTTTCCATGCAAAGTTTCAATGTGAAGCATGTTACATATATATACAAGCAGACCTCAAATGGAGAGGTTAGCTTGCAGGGCTTACTTGTACAAAAATCCTCATTTATCAAGGGTAAGTGTGTGCTGACCTATCAAGTTTCAACAACAGTAACAAAAAAAAAGCCATGAGGAGAATTAAAAATATTCACTGGATTTAAACCTCACCTAAAAGCTACAATAAACACCGCTATCAAAAAGAAAATCTAGATGTTTGTTACACTCACCTTCCTTCTAGCAGCCAGGTGCATTTTGTTTTGTATTTGTAATTTCCAGGACCATCCGTTACGTAGCCCGAAGGTTCAGTGAGTCTGTAAATAAATAAAAACAAGCATTAGTCTTTAATAATATGAAAGGCTCATAAAGAACATCCTGAATTTAGGAGACCCATCATGAGATTTTTCATATGCTGAACAGCCCTTACAAACAAACCGAAAACGATGCAAAACAAATGAGGAGGCCATTGGCATTCTGCTTTTATACTCTTTTCCTAAGTTTTTTGATGACTGTCCTTAGAGCAGGACAGCTGGGAGTGATGCCTTCTCGATGAGGTTGATGGCCTTCATCTCCAGGATGGAGAAGAAGAGAGAGAGCTTTTCCACAAGAAGGAAAAAGAGCTTCTTCCACCCAGAGTGATATCAGACTGGCCACCCRGTCAGAAAAAGTTGTTAGTCGAAAGCTGCAATTATTTCTAAACTTTGTATTAACACAAACTACACTGTTCTTGAGGGAAGAACTTCAGACCAAGACCATGGTGCAAMCTCTCACCCATCCTATGACTCTTCCAACTCCCTTATGACCTGTTTACAGACCAGGCAGAGGACTGATTTCTGTGATCTTCCACTGCAAAGACAGACCCTAATTTCTCTGCATATAAATCCTGCATAAACCAAGACCTCAGAACATGGGAGTTCCACACATCCCTCAACTTTGGTCGCGTGCTCCCACCCTCACACCATCCCCTTCTCCTTGCAGCAAATCCATGGAGTCACACTGGGCATCTGATCCATGACCTGTTTTAATTCTCCCCTTCATCCACATCCGTTCTCACCTCGGAAAAGCCCCACATTTGGTTCMCTCCAGGACCATGTGAAACACGGCACTGATACTGGGTCAGAATTAGGCTTAGCTTTTTGTCATGCTACAAAGGAAACTGTAGTTGGAAAAGTTGYCCAACTACAAAGGAAAGGAAATTTTTCCATGCCACAAAGGAAATTTTCTGGTGTTACAACCAGTAGGGTAGCGTGAGGAGCTCTACAAACCAGTCTTGGAAGGACTGGCAAAGAAAGACATGCAAAAACCTGGCTTTGCATCTCCAGCTGGAATTTCTTGGCTCATATGCACCAAAATGCTCTAAACCGCTCCAAACTGGTTTTAACAAGTTAAGTTGCAGTAGAAACTGGAAAGGACAATTTTGAACACAAGCAGCATTTGAAGGTGCTCAAACACCACCTCGTGCAGAGCAAATGCTTGCACCCAAACCAGGATTCCCAGCAAGGTCATAAATCCCTCCACTGGCAGCCAGGCAAATCCAACCCTCCTGGCCTAASTCAACTGCCCAACTTCAAAAAAATTTTAGCAAAATAAAAACATTTGTGGAAATCAAATTTGGCAGAAAAGAGAAGGAAGCAAAACCACAAGTCCCCAAAATAACAGCATTTTGGAACGTTTTGTTACAGCTTTTCCTCTCTTTAATGCTCTTATCTGATTTTTAGAGCTATTTTGACTGAGTCTAAACAGTCTCCTGGASTATTTTGCACAGACTAAGGTTAACTTCTCACAAGGCTTACTTCTGATCCAAGCTTTAAATGAACACATTTAATAGCCTAACTTCCTCCATATCGATTTATCACTAAACTTTCCAACCTCAGAAATCTAGCCTAAGATTTTTAAAACTCCATGACTGGAGTTGTGCAGGAGACCAATATTTAAGCAAGTGATAGGAAAAATAAAGTCCAATTTTCAGGAGCACAGGAAACACTTGTAACTTCCATTGATTTTTAAGGCTTCTACATTGAAAAATCAACTCACTTATCTGTATTTGCAAAAGCAGGTGCAAATTCCAGATTGCGGGCAACAGCATCCAGCCCTTCTGTTTAAAAATCTGGCCTTTGGGAAGTATCATCTATGGAAAAGGAATCCTTATCTAGGAAGCAAACTGGATTAGCTCTTTGTCACTTGCAACCAGGAGTAAACAGATCCTGGAGCCCGAGCAAGCCCTGAAGCTCCAAACAACCCTTGGGGCTTGTTGGGTGGTCTAGTTCTCCAGCAGCCTTGACTCTGAAAACTGCTTTTCTCTGGAAGCAATTACTAAAATCATNATAAAATAAAATAAAATAAAATAAAATAAAATAAAATAAAATAAAATAAAATAAAATAAAATAAAATAAAATAAAATAAAATAAAATAAAATAAAGTAAAGTAAAATAAAGTAAAATAAAGTAAAATAAAGTAAAATAAAGTAAAATAAAGTAAAATAAAGTAAAATAAAATAAAATAAAATAAAATAAAATAAAATAAAATAAAATAAAATAAAATAAAATAAAATAATAAAATTCAAGTACGTGTAAATAAAGCTGGAGGAGAGTGCTTCTCGTGTCTCCCACCTGGAACAGGCAGCACCTTATCAGACATGCATTGCTTTATAAAGCCCTCTCCCACAAAGACATGCTGCAGGACGGACGGAAACCAAAACTCAGCACAAAAAAGACAGATGGATGCTGAAATTTCAGTTTTAAGKTCAGTTAAGAGAGCTCAAGGGAGCTCCTGGGGCGAGCTAGCCGAGCAGGCAACCCCTTTCCCCAGCAATTTAAGCCTCCTTGCACGGTACAGGCAGCATCGTGCTCTGCCTTGGTGGGGGGCCTGATGACAGCTCTGGGACAACATTCTGGGTTTGTCCATGGGAAAAGGCTCCGAATGTGATGGGATGATCATGCAAAGCACCCCAGGAGCCGGGGGCAGCACCCAGGTTATATGCACCATGCGCACCAGGACAACCCTGCAGCTATGCAGGGATCGGGATCCAAGGTCTCCTGGCTACTGCACTAGAACGAGCGGGTCCGAAGGGCAGCGTGGCATTTTCTCCCATTTCTCCCAGCTCCTGGTTATTCTCCCATCGCAATTTTAAAGCTCAGATCCTAAGCCGAGGGCTGCAAGGCTTGGAAGGCTCCTGCTTCCCGTGTTTGCCTGCAGAGAGGGTAGCGTGGACAGCAGCTCTCTGCTGAAGAGGGGCTGCCGAGGAGGCGACGTCCGCGCAGCTCCCGCTCCGCAGCGAAAACAAAACCCAAGGTCGCCTCGGTTCTGTGTGCGCTGCACAAACACACAATGGGGGAACTCGCATGTGAAGCCACATCTCAAGCTGCACGGGGCCAGGGCTGCAGCCGGGACTTAAAATTACCAGGGTAAAACAAAGAAGTGCATTGCAAGTGTCTGTCTGCATAGCTAGGATTTTGAAGCACAGAGGTAGGTTCGTGTACGAGCTACTTAGGCTCGTTTTGAGCCTTAGCAGAGGGCAGCGTTGGTACTTGTTGCTAATGTAATTTTTTCACTGGTTTTCTATTGGTTTACTCCAACATTTAGGAATCAAATGGAAAACACAGAGGTAAAGTCAGGGAATGAATCCAAAGGGCTCCAACTGCAAGCGCTCTGCACGTCACCTTGTTGTAAGGTGAAGACCAAGGGGAAGCAATGAAAAGGACTGCGGTTTTGCAAAAAGAAGAGCCTGCTACAAAGAAGTATTTTAAATGAGAGGATTCTGTTGTCTTTAGACACTGCTCTGTGATTCTGGCAGCCCCCCAAAAAGCAGGATGCTAATGCAAAAACCTCGGCTGCCAAGCGGAGGCATCTCCTGGGAGAGCACAGGGGAAAAGCAAGTCCTGAGCACCAAAGCAACTCAGCTAAACACACGTGGGTTTAACAGCAACATAAGAAAATAGCAATTAACAGTGGAATAGTCRATAGCAATTAATATTAGAAATGTATTTTTCAAGTAGAAATTAATATACACTGCCCAAGTTCCTACAAGGACACGAGCTACATAACCAGGCAAAGGCTCAAATCTGTTATCCAGTCTAATAGCCTTCTTGCTAATAATTAAGTGCAGGATAGTCCAAAACTCAAGAGCACCTTATAACTTTGAAGTAAATCATGTTGAGGTCCTTATTTCTAAAAAACAGCAAAATTAAAGGTGAAGGGCAGGGTGACAGTGAGTTGATCAATATAACATTTTCACGGGGAGAAGTAGGCACTAGAAGACAGAGTTTTCCTTTTCTCCAGGAAAGGCAAGCAGATTGATTCAGCTCGTGCTGCACATCAAGCCTCAACCTCTCCAAGATACCATCAGCGGATCTCAAAATGGTCGGAGATCCCCAAATTACTTTTCATGACAAAGCCTCCACGCCAGAGCACGCACCAGCATCCTCCTCATCAGCGACAAGAGCTGGCTCCTCAYCCCGATTTTGAGGTTACTGAAACTAGAGCCTGATGCAAACAATAAGTTTTCCTTCTCTTCCCCAAGTGCTGCTGCGCTGCCTCAAGAATACCACAATTAAAAGCCCTTGTTTCTATTAAATTCAAATTTACATCCAATAAAGAAAGGGCTCTTAGAGGCTATTGGCAGAACAACGGCATTTTATCCTAGACCAATTAACAATTCAGCTTTGTCCATCTTCTCAAAAAATGCAGTCTTGGCATGCAGGGTTTTCCTTTTACAGTGTGCCATAAGCAAATACTCCAATTTACAGACATGGAATAGTGATGAGACACATAGAGGATGCAGAAACACATCAACCAAATCTTTGCAACTATTYCCTGAGTTTCTAACTTGTAACAGTCAAGTCCCCTCTTCTGTCAACTCGATGTCTCACCACAGGTGAGGAAAAAAATCATTGGTAGCAGGTAGAAAAGAGACATTAATTACATATCAGGTCTCACACAGAGAAAGGCAAAAATGCTCCTGGAAAACCAGGCTGAATAAGGATTTAATGTATGCAGCAACAGGTACCAGACTAAACACTATGTCTATGGAGAATCCAACCAATGCTGTACGTGTCCCAAGCCCCCAGTGCAACCGAGGTAACAGCAGAACCACCCTGGAGAATGTGGGGAGGGTGGGTTTGGACCAAACCAGGATGGTGGTGGCCAGTGACAGGACAAGGGGCAGTGGGGACAAGTTGAACCCCAGGCAGCTCCATCTCCATGTGAGGAAGAACTTCTGCACTGTGAGAGTGCAGAGCCCTGGCCCAGCTGCCCGGGGAGGCTCCTGCTCTGGAGATCTCCCCAACCCACCTGGATGCCTCCGGGTGCCCCATAC